AATTACAATTATCTATAAAATGTTCTAGCATTGTGCGTTTTAAAGGAGAAGGTAAGTATACAGCGCAGAGAGCCACACGACATGTTTTTTGAGCAGTAGGGATTTCTATAGTAACCCATAGATCCTCACATTTGCTTTCCCAGGTACATTTGCGTTCCGATTTAATTATTTTTTTAATCGCTATTAAAACTCCCCCGCCCTCTTTTAGACTATGAAAGCCTGAATCTACCCTATCCCTTCTATAAACCATGTATCTGTTGTCAAATAGCTCGCTGCTCAGTATATCACTATTTAACCATGACTCCGTTAGCACAACAATATCATAGTCCACACCACATAGTTCGTTATAAAACCCGTGAGTTTTTGTTCGCAAACCACGGGTATTTTGGTAATATATCTTTAATTGATCGAATTTACCGAAGTTTATAACCATTACAATGCTTTTAAGTACATAAAGTAACCCACAGGTTTCTAAGATAAGCTATCCAACACAGCTATGTTTTTAACAATTATGTATTCTGTCTCATCGGATTTTCTCATAAAGATTCTACCGTTCCTAACCCAGACATATTTATACCCGTTATGTTTAGCCTTAAGCCTTGCAGCAGCATGAAGGGATTTATTAGCTGCTGATAGGTGTTCCAATACATAAACAGGGTGCTTGATGCCTGGAATGCCCAGGTGCACGCTATTCAGCTTATTCTCTGGGTTTGTCTTGTTATACTTTATGGTGGAAGCAAGAAGCTGGTCTCGAATTCTAGGAGAGCCCAACTGAACCACTATCGAGCGCGGGCGTGTACTGGCGCGGTTCAGTTTGGCTATGCGTGTACAATTATGTATTTCCTCCACCTTAATGTCACAACCAACCACCTGTCCAAGGTTTGCTACGATCCGATAAAGATTTTCATTTTTTTTCTCGGGCACACATTGAAGTTCCAAATTACATGACCGGGCCTAATCAGCCCGTACTAATCAGCTGGAGCAACAGCTCCAGCTGATTAGTACGGGAAGTGAGATCAATAACAGCGGCCTTCAAACTCTGATTTTCTTGTAGTAGATCTTTAATCTTTTTTTTCGAATCCTCGTGCTCCCTAACAATGTGCTCGTAACTGTTATTCAAAAAAATTAGTGACTCACTGATTTGAGTAATTTCGTCTTTAACCGGCTTTATTTCTTTGTTAACCGAATCCGTAATTGTGGTATTCAGTATAGATAGCATTTTTTTTAATTCATTCGCGATGGTATCTTCTATTATTTTACGGATAGTATCCTCGTTAAATTTTTTATCCGAGCTCACCTGCGGTGGAGAATTAAGAGCTGGTCGCTTGCTACCTCTTGTTGTGGACACATTACGTATTGGAGTTTGATCCTTTTTACTGGATTTCGGCGTACATGCAGGGCATTTCCATTCCAGTGGAGAAATAGAATCTTCGGAGACGGACAAGCATACGTAATGAAATGCTTTATTGCATATACTGCATTTTAAGTGTGGTTCGTCCTTAGCTCCCTGTGTACAACATCCCCATAGGCACGAAGAATCAGTTACACGTAATTTATTCATTGTGAATAAAATAGCTCGCAAAATATACACGAACTGATATTACACAGATTTCAAGTTAACCACAAGGCCGCGAGAACAACGTCGTAAGCGCCGTGCAATGCGCGTCACTTACGCGTTTTCGCAATACACCCACGTCGGTTTACGTGAGAGGGTATTTTGTATGTAAAAGTTGTTATTTTCGAGAAATATCCTCTAATAAACTCCACTTTTCACTTCACCGATTATCCAAAACTTTAGTAGCTTTTATTACTTTGTATTATTGTCCAAAAAATTATCCGAACACTTATTAAAAACACGAAATACAAAAATATTATATTTATAAAATTGAATGATTGTATTCTTAGTAAAGTATTATTTGATTCCTCGCTGATTCCAAGAATTTTCTTGACGCCAAACAATATCTAAATCAAAATCATGACTATGCTAAGTCCCTTAGTCGTAACGTGATATTAAAAATATCCAACTACATTTCTGGCTCTATATGTCAATTTGTAAAACTATTAATATAATAAAAGCAATAATATATATATATATATATAAGGTTTTAAAAATAAATATTTAACTTTACATAACTGAATGTAAACATTCAAAATGGAGAATTTTCTAGGGAGACAAAATGGCGTTTCTCTTCACGGCATGACATGGCTTCTGGAGTGAATTGCAATAAACAGGAAACTTGGATTATAAATTCATAATCATTTCACGGTTCGTTCGGCATTTACAGAAATAATTGAAATTCTCCTAGAAGGACGTCATTGTTCGTCGCGTCGGTTATGTGACTGTTAGGATTCTTTTTCTCGAGAACACAAGATATCATGTTACTATTATTTAAGATTTATTATTTGTAAAAATACGTTTGTTAATTTTTTTTTTATTAATTAATGATAAGTTAAATGTTTAACAAACTGATATCATAACTAATTTATCCTATAAAAATCATAAAATAAAAGAAAAATAAATTGAAAACAGCTAATTAAACTTTAAATTACTGTTGTTTATTACAAACCTCATATTCGCCATCACTCTTGAAATGGCGCCGGGCGCGTTGTATGTTATTTTGAATGCCATTATGATGTGTAATCTACATATATTAAGATGTATAATCTTACCGATCAAAAATGCAATTTGGTATAACCCGAATATTACTTTTAGTTAACGTTACGTTAGAAGCAAAAAAAAAACTTAAGAATATTGCGACGCGTTAACGCGTAGTTCCTAATTGAAACATTTACGATCAATAAATCACCTCAGCTACAGCATAGAGAAAGGACTCTAAAGGTGGGAACGTTTCTTTACACGCTTTCCCAGAAAATGTTGTGGAATGGATGTAAAATTAGCATATATGTATGATTTTTTTGCTGTTTTTATGACAATTAAACTGTATATATATGAACATTTGTTAATTGCTCTGTAGTTAATTGCTATCTTTATCACATTTAAAGTATCGGTGTATTGTCCTTGTAAGTTGGAAAACGGAAATTGTAAACGTTAAGAAAGTTGTAGGTTATCCGCGTGTTAGTGACCTTTTGTTAGCGGTGTCGCTCATGGTCAATTTTTTAAACAAATTCACTTTGTTTCTATTTATATGTTTAAGATAGATTTAGGGTTGCACTCATATTATGTCTTGATTTAAAATTCCACCCAGAAATTGTTATCTACCAATAGCCCGGTGATTTCTTTACAAATATGTATACTTATGAAGTACGAGTAAAAACTTTTGGTATTCTTTATTTTCCCTAGCCTAAAAAGCTTAATTTCTAAGAAACTTTGGCGCTAGGCATGCCACCGCTTATAAGAGATACCAGTCAAAACCTATGCAATGTTATTTTATTTGCGGTATGAAATACGAGCAAGAAGATGACGAATAATTAGTATTGCCCTATTTTATGTAAAACACGTTAATTACAACACTGATGTTCTTAAGAGGCACGTCCCTAAGAAACGCACGAATAGGCACTTACTATTAAAAAAAAATAAAGAACTCACTTCATTAAATGACACTATAAAAAAATATCAGTTGCTTAATAGATGAGTCTACATTTTTACCGTGTGAAACTTATAAAATAATTCTTTACTTTCGAGAAAAAAATCCTCAACAATGATCAAAATCATCGAAATCGACGTTTGCTATTTTGAATATTTCTGCTACTTCGTTGTTCTATTTAAAAATGTTTTTTTTTAATCGCGAGAAAAAAGTATAGACAATACATTCACCGTTTCAGTTTTTTACTAATTCGGACTAAAAAGCCATAATCTAAGATTAAACATCATTCATTTTTTAGCGAAAAAAGTCCATTTTAGTACGTAGAAATTGTCTTCCATAATGTGCAACAAATTAGATAATACGCGCGCTAATACTTTAACAAGAAGATTCAAAGACAGAGCACGTCCGTGCGTAGTGCGAACGACATCCGAGAAGTACGGACAAGCATAAAGGTGCTTGTCAGACTCTTACTACTGCTAATCTATATTCTTCGAGCAAAATTTAGATTTTATTTTATAAATGTTACTTTGTATTTTTTTTCGAATAAATATTGCCGCCTATTAAATAGCCCTCGCCGAAAATCGTAATAAATCATAGCACGAAAATTTTCACGAGTTAAATCCATAGTGATAAACACGCAATTTTCAAAATGAGGCCACAAAGGATAAACAAATGACAGTTACATAAAACAAATTGTATTCTTCAGCCAAAGAGTTCAATTTTTAATTAATATTTTTCTGTAACTGGCCAGTTCCGGATACATAAATAGCAGCCCTCGTATCCATTTATTTTGCTAAATATTTCACAAAACAGATTGCTGTTATTGCGTGTTGGTCTACAACTTAAGTCTTGATAAAAATTAAAAGAATTTTATGAAATGAAGATACTTTAACTTAATCGCTGTGTTTATTTTAATCTGTATTTACTTATTTTAAATAAATAAATATGAAAAAAAAACGATCATCTGTGAAGCCCACATTACCAATATCACACAGAATATTGATTTGACTATTTCGTAGATTTCTCCATAAAAACTAATAGTTTTAACTTAATATCCACAAAGTGTACACTTAGACCACATCATTTGTCGCCGACTAGTCACTACGGGCCCGAGAGCTTCGCGATGCGTTACGATACATTGCGTGTTTTTTGTGACATTCATAAACAATCTACAAAGGAAATGATGAACATCTACCTTATACGAAAGTCGAAAGTAGATTGATCATTGTCTATAGTGCGCGTTGCGTCTGTGTGCATTTAAAATATTAATGTGGATGTTCAATCTCGAGTTCTCACGCTTGGGTGCTACAGTATTACAGTCTTAAAAATAAACAAAAGTGACTGACTTATCAGCTGTTAAGTTAAAATGTTATAGTGTAAACACAAATTATATGTTATTTGGTAGCTTTTAAGACCAGGATATAAGTAATACACCAGTTTAATAAATAAACTTACCTTTGTGTGTGTACGGTGCCATATTAAGATCGTTGATAGGGAACGAGACCCTGGCGCCGACCTTCGCACTGAACATGAGCTCGTGGCGGAATCGCTTCAGGTGAACACACAACACTTCCGGCAAACGCACCACACCTGACATCTTCACACCGTTACGTAATTTATTGCAGCGGGAACAACTGAGCCAAAGAAAATAATAATTTATTTGAGTAATACCGTGGAAGTTAAAAATACAAGTAAAGCAAGTGTTAGTGTTTCACAGATGAATAAGATCTGGGGCGGTTACCAGAGATGTTTTTAAAGTTATATCAGTTCAGTCAAAATAACACACAGAGAAAAACACGACGTCAAATACGAGTAGGACTCGAACACTAATGGACGGAACCAGAGTAGAGTTCAAGTAAGATTTAAGAAATACGCGCGTGCTACTGCGCGATGCTTTATTTGATCTGTTTCTTTTTTTAAAAGGAACATTTTCAACTATCAGCCTTCTATATATTATGAAGTTGGAGGCTAGACATAGATTTTATAATTTAGAAGACTAAGCACAATGTGGATGGCACTAACCTGTACATATTATCGCCTTTCAGTTCATCGGCGCTGAAGAATGCAGCGAGGCAGTCCTGCAGTGAGACGATTGGTCCGTAGAACCAGGATCGAAGCCAGCTCAGTAACCACCAAACCTACGTAAACAAATTCATTTATCATTACGTGCCATTGAAAAATGATCCTTTCACACAAAATTCAAAAAACTCCTACAAAACAATTGAATTTAAATACATTCAGGTAACATAAAGGCGAGTACGTTAAAAAAGCGGAATAGTGCAAAAAGCATCAAGCCAGCAAGTTTCAGGGTATTCATTAGGTGGCTTTTATGAGAACTTACACTGTGTAAAAAAGAACTATATATTGTGCCTACCTAGCGCGTGTTACCAATACAGAGTACAAAGCACTATCTACTACCCTTATTAGCATATATATATATATATATATATATATATATATATATATATATATATATATATATATATATATATATTTATTAGCATATATATATATATATATATAGCTATTTTTAATGCTGCACTTCTTATAATAATGGGATAACTTTTCTTATACAGAGCTTCGAGTTATAAACAGAAGTTCGAAAGAGTTTTAAATTGTATTAGTGCTTTTGGGAAAATAATTGCCGAGGTTTTCAAAAGTCACCAAAAAATAAAAACGGAACTGAGAGCAGTATGACATGATATTATAATGTACGAACATATTTATGGAACTTTTACATATGTGCAATTAAAGAGGTTTTTTTCCCCTAAGGTTTTACAATTTACAATTATATCCCTAGTCTCTACATCTCTTTCTTTCTCTTATCAAATTTAATATTTTTTATAGATTTTTAAAATGAATTTCTGGTTTTAGTGTGTAAATCATTACTATGAAATGTTGAGTGCCAACATTGGTTGGTATATTTTTTAACTAATATGCCAAATTTAGTCCTCACCTATAAAGTTGCAAAATTTTAGTAGTGATTAATGTGAAAATAGCTTTGAAGAATTGTTTTCGTTAGAATTTTTTGGTAAACCCAGCGTAAAACTACAATTGCATTTGGCAAAAAATAATAATTTTGTACAGATTTTTAGATGTGTTGTGTATATAATATTAAAATCCGTTGCGTAATTTGAAAGATCTAAGCGTAAAAGAAAAAAAGCGACTTCATTTAATATTATGTAAGATTAAAACAACAATAAATAAAAGTTGGAGTATAGACTAATTGGAATTACACTCTTATTAATAGTTAAAATGCAAAGAGTATTGATTCTAAACTTTACAACGGAATCGACTCTACTGTAAGTATTTTAAGAAGCCGAACCTGTACGCAGTAGAATGCTGCTCCTCAATGGCGTCACAAAATATATATGTACAACTTACAGGCGTCAAAGGCGTGGTCCAGCTAACAGGTTCCAAGCTACTAGTTTGTTCACGCGAAGGTTGGAGCCCACGTACCCAAGACTCCTGAGCGCCATGAGGCGCGTGGTGATTCAGGATGGGCTGCTGACATCGAATGACTGCCAGGTGCTCTCGTGAAGGTATAGGGAGGGATAGATCTTGGAAGGTTTCCACCCGCGTTGATACCTATCACGGGAAAAAGAATTAGGAGAAATACTTGTAATTGGCAACTATAATTATTTTTAATTTATTTTATATACTAGTTGATGGCTAGAGACTGCACGGATGGCGTAGTGGTTTAAGCGGTCGCCACGCCGCTTCCTACTAGGCTGAGTGTGGTGGGTTCGATTTCCATACGGGACAACACTTTGTGTAATTCATAAATTGTTGTTGTGAGTCTGGTTGTTTTTTGTGTCTGTTTCATGTTTGTTGTAAAGATACAACGTATGTTTCGAGTGCAGGGGTTGTTTTTTTAAAGTAAAAAAAAAGTGAATGGTCCTGCGCAGGTAGAAATAAAAAACACTCAAATTTGGTTTTTTCAAGTTACTGCAGTCTCTATTGGGTTTCTCTATTTGAGAAATGTGGTATTCTTTACCATAGATTTTGTGTTCTAATTTTTACCCAAATTAATATTCTCGTATTCTACTTCATAATTTAAGTTATAGGCGATATGGAAGTTTATAGAATTTAGGTAGACCGTGTCGGACATTTTAAGGATCGACAGCTTATGCTCTTTGATTCACGGAGGGGTCTCAATGTATTAAGAATGGTCACCCACCCATAGATGACTGGGCTATGATCATCATGACCGGCTTAAGGGAATATATGGAACCCTATGAGAAAGTGAGATACCCGGTTGCAGATGAGGCACTGCACGGAGGAGAGCAGCTTGCCGTCGAACACGTCGGAGATGACGGAGCGGTAGCGCGCGCCGCCCGCCGCGCCGTCGCCGCCGCCCCGCGCCGGCCCCGCGCCGCCGCCGCTGTGCCGCAACACAACACTACACTACACTACACTACACGCATACTGCACCCAGTGTACAGACCGCCGAGTGCGACTTCATTTCACTTCTACTCAGTAGTGACCGCGTTTGGCGCTACGATTGGTCCGCACAGAAATCTCCACCGATCGCAACGCTAAACGCGCTCGCCGTCGAGAACGAGTCGATGTGAAATAAACTTGAAAAAGGTTCTTGATGCAGGTTGTATTTTTTTTTTGTTATTTGTCACCTCAAAACTACATCTTTTATAATTAAATCCATTTAGAAAATTCTTTTTCATGAGAAACATCTAATGCGAAGGGACAGACTGGCTGTTGGTGGGCGACGCCTCGCCACGCTAGAAGAATAGCAGAATCGATTCTGTCTCGCTGAGTTATCAAAGTGATTTTAAACTCGTCATTTCTGCAAAATAATTTTGACACACACATCTATGAGACATCCCACAATAGCTCATTTTTTTGATTAATAAAGTCTGCCAATACCAATAAAGAATACTTTTCATAACAAATTCAATGATTTCGGTGTTAAAAGTTTTATTTTCTACGTACATTTATCCAAAAATCTTATTATTATTACATTATAATTTAAAAAAATATTTTAATCCGCTGTAAGGCAATAATATAAAATAACTTACGCGGTTTCTGTCCTAGGATCCGGTGCATCGCTGGCACCGCTAGAACAAGTCTCATACCGCTCCTCGGCTTCACTCGACCACGAGAGCTCCGATTCCGAACCGTTCAGTGCTTGATTTGGACCACGAGATGTTAAATCCGGCCCTTAGTAGTCAAAAATAATTACTTATACTAACATGATAAACCTGAAGACGTTGCAGTTTAGTTTTGAAGTGTATGCATTGAAAATGGAGTGTAAAAAATATTTTTTTATTTCTTTGTGTATAGAAGCCACTGTTTTAAAATAATCATAGGAAATAACATGAAAAAAATCGCTATCGCTATATGGGCACGGGTTTTTTTCTGCGTGGAAGGTGTGAAATAAAGTATTATAGAACTTAATGTTATGTCAAATAAATCTCGTGAACACTGACTAAATGGCAGAATCCTTTTATTAAAACCGCGTACGGTAAACTAATGACGCACGCGATAAACGCCGTGGGGTGATAGGGTGGCATAGGGTCAAAATACGGTGATAGATAGATAAGTAGAAATTAATAAAAAGTAGTACCAACTAATAGTGAGTACATGAGCTTACCATTAGTTTGTTGTGTGTATAAATGGTACTGAAGTTGGTGTGTGCCAGCAAAACTGGCTGATCGGCGGTGACGAGACGGTGGGTCCTGAGATACTCTGGAAATTAATTAGATATTATATATATGTTTTCCACTGCCACTGTTAGTTTCGTTATAAGTCGGAATTTAAAATATGGTAAGTATAAATAAAACAAAAACTTAGAAACTGAACCGGCCCTCTGCCAGGCAAAAACCCTTCTTGTCAATACAAATGTTTTTAAAGGCGACAGTTAAACAAAATATAAACCCAGAGATCCTACAAAAACAGACGGTCCTTTTAAATACTTTAGAACTCAATCACGCATTTGGTTTGTACATAAGTTTATACAGTATACAGAAAAGAAATTTCGGTGGTGCAGTGGTAGCGTAGGCGACTGCTCTGCTGAGTATCAGTTAGTCTAGCTTTCAAAGTACAAGTTCTGCTTAGTTTGAAACTTGATGGCGTTGTGTAGCAACAAAAAACGATACTAATGTTATAAAGGGGAAATATTAGAATTTTTGCTTCTTTGTTTTTAATATATGGATAGGCGCCGAAACTACTGGACCGATTTTAATTTGGTGACGGATTAAGAATACGGAGTATTACCATCCCTAGTCATCCCGTGGATGTCATAAGAGGTGACTTAGGGAGCAAACTAAGCAGGACAACAGCACTGCAAAGAGAAGGAACACTTGAAACAAATCCTATAATACCAACTCGTTTGACCAATGTGGTATCATCACATCAACAGCCTTTAATAGTCCACTTCTGGACATAGGCCTCCCCTTGGAAATGAGGTTTTGGCCTACTATACCACGCTGGCCAGACGGGTTGGTACAGTAGGCCAAAACTTTCTTCTTAAGGACAAGCCTATGTCTAGCAGTGTTGTGTGTCCACTACTAAAGGCTGTTGATGATGAATCTTATATAATAATCTAGGTAGGATTGTTATTTTTAGTTTTGTATACAATTGTATGCCAAAACAAGGCAGGATATGGTATTGATCCAAAACTACCTATATAATACCTGGTACTTACCTGTATTTTATAACATATTTAATTTCATAAATTGGATTAAAAGGGATGCCGCAACTCCTGGATGGTGAAACGGGTTTGAGAGAGCAGTTCTGAAGAAGCCAGGCCGCATACTGGCGTATCTATTCTTTGATTGTAGAGATCACTATTTTTACCTTAAATATCCATCGGTTCGTGATTCACTATACGAGGACGGTGCCGGTGATTTTCTTCTCATCCTTGCAAATAAAGGTGCGTCGTTCGCTATAACAAAGAACAAACCATATTACTTTGAATGTAAACAGAACAAGATATGCTTTATTTTTGCCTGTTCGGATATACATTTCCTTCTTTTGGAACGAAGTTCCTTATCGCGCGTTGTGAAAGGGGGCTAGACGGAAAAAATCTCACGGAAAGTTGTAACGACACTTTTTATTTTGAATTGTCACTTGTCAGTCTTTCAGCGCCATCTATCGAATAGATAGGAAATACATTACTTTTCATCTCAGTAAAATTAAAATTAATGTTCTTAGGTTGAGCAAAAAATATTGTATTAGACATCATTTCTCAAGGAGATTTTACCAATGTATAAATTGTTTTAATTAGAAACCAACTGAAAAATATGTAGGTAATAGCCGCTTTCATAGATGGCGTTGTAATTAAAATCGTGTCGAATCAGTTTTACTCGATCGTCACAACTTCTTTCCTATCGGGTGTCCTACGACACCACACGGCTTTTTTTTTGTTTCTTTTATGGTCTTCATTGAGTAAAGTTTTCAAGTAAACCAAGGTGTATCATAATCAAGACAAAGTGATGGTAAGAGCGTGTGAGCAGCACTTACAGACTCTCTCCCCGCCGGAGCTGGCGGCGCGGCGCCGCACGTGCACGGAGCGCGTCTCCTGGTGGTCGCCGTCCGCCTCCGAGTTCAGCTTGTCTTCCGACGTGTCGAACACCTGCACGTGGGGAAGTACAACATATTTTATATGGGCATAATATTTAATAACAAATAAAGTTGTTCTTGTGATTTTTAAAAGTAAAAAAATATAATTTACAATGCAAGTTAAATATCGCAATGGATACATTACAAGAATTAATCGTAGAATTTGGGCTGCTTTTTTCTTTATAAAATCATTAACGACCTAATAAAAGTACAGTAATAAATGTTTAACAGTCTGTTAAAATTTCTCATTCGACTAATTAAGACGTATGACCAGAAAACAATATATTACATGCGTGCAGAATGTTGTAGAAGTTTCCAGAGTGATGTCCAGGAAATTTTGATATTACAAATTTTCATTTAAAACTTTCTGAGATATACCAGATAAATAAATACCCGCTGCTATCCGGTGTTCCGGTTCATCACAACATGCATGCTTAAATAGCCGCAAAATATTTAGGTTATTTTATGACCACAATTAAAAACCTCTAGTTATGTGTGTAGGTAACATTTAAAAAAAATAAAATTACCGGTTCTTTGAGTTCCTCGTGCAGCTGGTCCATAAAGCATCGAAGAAACTCTTGCGTGTCATGCTGGTGGTAACCGCGAAACATTGGATGCACCTATAATTATCACATATCATGAAGAGCTTTTAGTGATAACTAAAGGTAGTTGCGTTACTAGTGGTCTACGTGTTCGACCTACCAAACTAATAATTAACAACTATACTAATTTTACAAACGGTCAGTACACCCTGGTCGATTCTACAGCAATTCAAAGTTCTTATTGATCGCGTTAGTATATGTATATTAAATGACTTGCTCTTACTGATTCATCAACGCATATTCTAAATCGCTGGGGCTACAAACTTGAAAATTTTTCAGCTGATGCTTTGTATGTTGTAAGCACTCACTAAGAAAAGATTTTTGAAAATTTAACCCCTTAGAATGCAAAATACGGAATGAACGGTAGTTCTTATTTTGAAAATTAAGAAATACGAAATAATCTAGAAATTGCTAGGTCCCATATAAATCATTATTGTTAATTAACTATAATATACTACTACTAGATTAACGCTACCTGCCTGTATAGTGACAAAGGCTACTTACATTACGAATGCCATAAAGGATTCCATTAGGTACAACGTAGCCTCTTGTTTTTCTACTCCACATCTCTTTGACTAATTTTTGGTATGCTCTGTAAACATATATTTTTAATATTGTAATTTCAAGACAAATTAGCTGAAAAAGGAAGACCAATTAAATAAGAAATAATAGAATTTCTAAACAACAAATCGTAAACTATAATTTTACTATCTTCTAGTATACCTTTGTAAGTTAAAAAACCTAATTATTTTTCGATTCTTCCGAGTCGATTTGGAAAATTATTTATCAATTTTGATACAAATATCAACTCTAATAAGTAAAAGAATTTATTTGAGTAATTTACTAAAATCATTTGTAGGAAAAGGATTGGTTGTTACATGAAATAATGTAAAATTAAAGCTATTTTATAAGTTCTATGGCTCTATAGTTCTATACCGAACTAATGGCTCGTCTATTGAGTAATATAATACGAGATGTGTGTTGGACCCCACTGTGGGGTCCAACATACTGAAATGTTCCCAGTCACTGACCTGCTTATCCCCGGCTTCTTATCAGCGGCTAACACAGCGACCGCCGCAGCACACTCGAGGAAGTATGACGTCAGCGGCGCCGTGTTACTGAGCGCTTGCAGCGCCGCGTTCATATAGCACGTATTGCCCATGTTCTGCAGACCCACTAGACCTGAGCAAGCATCGTCTGGATTTCAACCATATGTTAGTTATATACGTAACGGGTTAACGTATCGCCACCATTAGAAACATTTTTACATTACGTGACAATGATGTCACGTTTTTGTTAATAGTAATTTAAAGATCGCGTGGGAGAGCAATGATTCGGCAGAAATGGAGCAGTTCGACTTCCATGGTGGCGGTAGTTTTATGCTGTTAAAAATCTAAAACTGTCATCGTTTCATTCATCATCATTTCATTAGAGACTTTTGTTGAATATCATCTCTGCAGTTTTCTTAAACATATCCCAGATTTAAAGTGTGTATTGCATGCCATTTTGTCATGTTACATATTTATTTAAAAAAATGTCTCACCCCTGGGTCTGGCGTCATCATCATAATCCATGTCATCTGGGTCGAGATCGTCGTCTACCATGCTGAAGCCAACCGAGTCGAGCCGCCCTGGACTCTCGACACATGTTGAATCTGGACTCGACTGGATCAAACACCGAATCATTATTACATCTAACATTTTCAAAATATTCACAAAATGCTCGATCATTGTCAAAAATTGGTGTTTATAACAACTGTTTAAATAAACATGTTTACCAGCTCCTATGACATGTTTCAAAATATATATATATATACACATCATCTTCCTATAAATATTGTCTCAAAGAAAAACCTTTTTTTTTCAATTTCATAAGACATTTATTACTGTAATGTATTTTAGTTTATAGATTGATATATATAATATAATTTAAAATATATGAAGCTCAATCAAAATGATCTCAATCGTCTTTTATGCAGTTCTTCGAACGTTGAGGCAAGTTATCAATAGAAACACGCGCTTTCCCTATGGGAAATTTATTAACGGCCGATTTTATCGATTGTTTTAGGGACTGCAAATTATCATGGGGTTAGCATGCCATAATTCTTCAAACTGACCATAAATTTTAATCCAGCGGATTAAACTCAGGAGTAGACGACGGCCAGGACTTCTGATGAAGTCAGAAACATTAGTTACCAACTACGCTTTCGTAGATCGAGCCTTTAGTAGTTTTGATTTTACCACCCCATTCATTTTTAAATTATCAGTTACATAATGACCAGTGCGTCCTAAGAGGCTGCAAGTCCTGTCATCTTTCAAAATACGCGACGTGGTTTTAGGTGCTCTATTTGGCTGCTTTCGGACAGGCATTCTTCGAATTCTTTCCTTCACTGCTTTGATCGCCTATTTCGTACGAATACTATGTAGACGGTCAGATTTTTTTCTGTCACAAATAGACGAGGTTTCATTTTATCTATCGATAGCTGGATACACAAACATTTGACCAAGCAGATGGAGGGTTTAAAATTTGTATTTAGATTCACTCTTACTTTGTGTAATGCTATCGCAGCAATGCGATTCACTTTATCACCCTATTCCATTTTAAGATTAAAAAATATTTAAAACCGATTGGCCCGCAAATGAAATAACACAAAAACAGATTCCAAATTCAAATGTAATATTATGTCTTTTTTTTTAATTTTAACAATATTTATGGCTAGACTAAGTATAACTAGGTACATTTACATAATTTAAATAATGTGTTCAAGTAAAACCCCCCTTCCCTCTAAATTCTTGAATTGCAGGTATCACCCGTAAAGTATATGCGTATAAAGCTTTTCAATCTTTATGAAACGTCAACATGGTGGGTTATGAAGACAACCGTATAAAGTAACAACCTGTGACGTCACACTTAGCTATCGTCAAATTATTTACTTTAAATGGTCTTTAAAGTGTAATTTGATACTTTGTGAAACAATGGACTACAACCATACGAATATTTCTTCAATAGTGCATTAAAGGGAGGCTGCACGGATGGTGTAGTGGTTTAACCAGTCACCTCGCCGCTTCCTACTGCGCTGAGTGCTATAGGTTCGATCCCCACATAGGACAACACTTTGTGTGAACTACGAATTGTTGCTTTGAGCCTGGGTGTTCTTTGTGTCCGTTTCATATATATTTGTAAAGTCCTCCGAGACACAGAATATATTCGTAGTTCAAGAGTTGTCTTTTTAAAAATAAAATAGAAAAAAAAAGAAACAACATACCGCGCGCGCCAAAGCTGCTCTGATGTGAACCTCTTTCTCGCACAAGTAACACCATATCCGCTCCGTCGACACGTTCATATGCACGCAATGCGTCGAAAAGTTCTGAAAACAAAGGTCGTCATTTTAAAAACTAATTATTTCAAATAGAACAACGAGAGCCCTTACACCTAGTTAAGTATTATTCAATGTTATTAACACAATTACTTCTTTCATAGAAATCTATGTTCAGTTCTCATATGATCAGAAGACTGTATTAGATATAATAGTTTATAAAACTAAAAACACGCTAATTTAACTAGCAAATTAAAAAGTAGATAATATATTTTTTTGAAGCTATATTTTTCTATTTTTAAGCGCAGGGTGCTTTTTAAGATATTTTATAATAAAACGACTACTTTTACCAATATCTCTCAACAAAATATTTACAGCAATTGACATCTAGCACCCTACGCTTCTTTATGATAAAATGATTTTTCCGTTTCCTATGTAAGGAAAACCCGGCGTGCATCTGCGACCCAGGCATAAATGAGACAGTGCTGCACCTTCTTTTTGAGTGCCCTGTACACTCACTCAAAGGAAAGTTATAACATCCAACACAAACTAGGCCTGAAATAGATGCGTCAAGCGTTGCTACATTCATGGTGAGCAAGGACAAGGATAGATTGCTGGATTACTGCAACAATAGTGATTAAGAGACACAAAACTTTTTAGCAAATATGCTGTCATAGTATAGTGCGTATATTATTGTACAGCATAACAAATAAATTGACTCAGTATAAAAAGTAGTTTAAGATAATTTGTCCCTAGATTTAAGAAATAATGTAAGAAAAAAAATTGCTATGTTTAAAATTTAGTAAGTAATTAAGGCAAAATGTAGTAGTATTTAAGGTGTTTATGTAAAAAGATATAAAATGCTTGGTCTAAAGTTATTGAACTAAACCCAATTTATAGAATAAAATTAAAATAGATACGTAGTTTAAGAGTTAAGACGTAGATGAGTATCCCACTCATATCAATAGTTAAAGATGATGAATGACAGAAAGAAACAGTAGGCGGTATGACAGTGCGAGTGAAATACCAGCGAGAACAGACATGAAAGAGTCAGTAACATAGGCTCTAATTATATTGGAGGTACTAGGGACAGGCAGCAACACCCTTTACAACAGCAGACAACAGCTTTATTAAAAAAAAAAACTACCTAACACTGACTTTAACTTTACATTAACCCTAATTTTACATGTAACAATCAACTTAGTGTGCATTTTTTTTAAAAAGGTAAAAAAAAAGAAAAGTACAGTTAACAGGAAGCAATAAATACACTAACACTACTAGGTTTCTTGTTATGACCGGGCAATAAACTATACCTATAATTCTCATTGAACTAAATAACTATTGTTGTACATTAGTTTATTGAAGGTTTCAATTTAAGGGTGTCAGTTATCTATAATATGTATGTATTTAAAAATATATAAGTATGTTTATCAACAGGTTCTGCCTAGTTCTAGTGTATCTAGTTTGGGATCAGACGACCGTGTTTGAAGTATATATTGTTATTATTATTATTAATTTAATGGTCTACACTGATAATGTCTTATGGTAGGTCTACATATAGGAAATAGCTATTGCCCGCGGCTTCGTTCGCGTGATTATTTTTTATTTCTAACTTAAAAATTACAAACTTCCCCACAACTATTCATCTCTTATTTACCCCCTTAGGGATGAAATTTCCAAAAAAACTTTCTTAGTGGGTACTTACAGCACAAAAGCATCAGCTGCCCCAAGTAGACCAACAGAATAAGAAGGACTTGTGTAAGCAGATTAAAATAGTAATAGTTTCATTTTATTATGAAATAAACATTTGTGAGAATATGGTTGTATCAAATGAACAAATATTAAAAAAACGTAATAAATTATTCATATTTATTTATGACGGTATGACGTACAATTTCATTCAATTTGCAACTAAAAGACTCGTTTGCTAACGTGTGGGTGTGTGTATCGGTACCTCTTTTGCCTCTTCCATTACAAATTACTATCCCTGCAAATTACGCGGGTAACCACCATCAGTTTAGTTTTCTTTGATAACTATTCTATTTTAGTTTTTAGATATAATTTTATTAACGTTTAAGGGATCACCTTGAAGTTAATAAAATGCTAATTTTATATTTAATAAATACCTACGAAACACAAGATGTTTTAAATTTTTTTGAACTGTTTTCAAACTAAACCAATTGTGTAATTGGTTTCAATATTATTTAGTTATTTCAATATTAAAATGTCCTCGCCTGGGTAGAGCTCCCAGCACAAGGCTTGTTGGTGTCCTTTCAAGTTGGTTTGTTTTTTTTATGTCGGAGGGGGAAAGCGAGCAAAAGGAGGAACCTGATGGAAAGTGACCATCGCCACCCATGAACGTCTGCAACTCAGGAGTCACAAACGCGTGGCCGGCCTTTTAGGAACGAGTACGCTCTTTTCTTCGAGGTTTGAAGGTCATATCGGTCCGGAAATACCGCAGACGATAACCCGTTCCACAGATTGGTTGTGCGGGGCAAAAAGTGGGATTTAGGAATCAGTCAGTCATAGCAAGTAAGTTTACATGTATAGATGTGCCATGCTGTAATTTTTAATGTATATGTACTGCTGGCGTACTTTTTAATAAATAAGTATTGGGTCCTTAGAAACAACAGTTAAAGTTTATAGGTAAAGGAAACTGTCTGTCTACTGTCAGGACAGTCAATGGTTTCTGGGTTTATTCACAGTAGTTCCATGAAGCCAGTTTTACATGAAACTTTTGCAACCCACTAGTTCGAAATATGGAACTAGTTCCATATATAGGAATTGCTATGAACATAAGCGGAAAATTATACCCATAAAGTTCCAGTTACGTACGTTACGTAGCTTGTTGTATTATAATATAAGACATGAAATCCTTTTTCCTTGTTTTCTTGTGCTAATTAATGGTGAAAACGAAACCGCATTGATAGTGTGGTCTTATCTGCACCATTGAGATGACACTACTCATTTAATAGATGAAGATCTTCCAAACTGCGCCTTTTTTTTTGAGAATCAAAACGTCATACAGATATAAAAAAAATGTTGCAAGCAATTTTCGACCTTATAGACATGGCCTTATAAACGTGTTTTTGGGGATCTATAAAAGACATGATCACGACTATAAAAAATAAATTAAATACTGTGGAAGTTTATGAGCTCGAAAATTGCTTGCAGCTATTTTTTACAATAGTCATCACACACACTAAATATAGAAATAGGTGATGCCGGTTCGATCTTCATTTGTTTTTACCGATCGCATACATCAAGCAACCTGTCAATATTAGTAATATTGATAACTGATGCAATCTCTACTGTGGGTGACACAAGCTGTAAAAGTAGTATAAAAATTACATGGAATAAATGGTACAGAAATCGCATTTTTAAGGTTACATCAGTACCATGTGGCACTGGCTTCATGGAACTACTGGAAATAAACCCGTTTTTGGTTATCACTTTGTTAGTTAAACAACAACTAAGTTATACAATGAAAACAAATTAAAGAGCATATGAGAGTTGTTGTGCATACTGATAGAATGATGTAGATACATGAAAACACATATGGCCTTCATGGTACAGTATCACCTAACACTATGTATATGTCTTTAGGTACAATATTAAATGTTCCCTTTGTATTGAGTGAACTTTGAACTGATTATAAATACAGACAAAACAATGTCTTACACTTCAAGTACAAGATGGCTATTTATCATTGGGATTCCAAGCAAACTGGTAAAAATATATGTGTAGAACAAACTTGGACAGCAACTTTGTTCTATAATGGTGCTAATTCTGTTGTTCGAAAACTCTCTAAACTAAACTAAAAATCTCTAAAAATTTGTTTCGTCCTGTCAAAAAACGTTTCCTGTTCTGAAAACGTAGAATTTGGCAGGACTAAAATTTTTTTTAGTGATGTTTAGTTTAGAGACTTTTCGAACAACAGAATTAGCACCAATGTATAATTTTTCTAAATCTTAGGTCTCGATCAATCAATCTCATTTTAGTGGGATATAAAAAAACCTCTTTTCTAATAAGAGGCCTATGTCCAGCAGTGGACTATTAAAGGCGGTTGATGTGATGTGATGATATAAAATTTTATTTAAGTTTTATATTTACCTATTGTTTAAATTGGAATGTTATAGACACACACAGAACAGATGGACAGACGAGTACTTTATTATTACAATGTTTTTATGTTATTTAACATTTAATAAAAAAAAACATTTACAAGTTTTTATAAAAGTCATTGATGTCTGTGTATGATAAAATAAATGATTTTTCTCTTTCAAAAATGTATTAAAAATGATAATGTAATTATGGTTGGTATTCTTACTTTTTGGTGTAAAGTGCTGTGATCATTTTTGACTTCAGAGCAACCGACATGGTGGCAGTCTGGCTGCAGACAAATCCAGAGGTTGGGTCCTGGACACCCACAGTCGAAACAAGTTAACACCTGTAATTACATGTAAGAAAAGGTAAAATTAAAAAATAGTGATCTCTTTGCCTCAGTAACAAGGTTCTTGGGTTAATACATTTTTAAAGTAACAAGAGTTTCATCTTACTAATATTATGATGAAGATGAATATCATAAAGACGAAAGTTTATATGAATATACAGTACTCCATCACGCAAAAACAGCCCAACCTATTTGGATGAAATTTTGCATCATTTTTATAAAGAAAAAAAGTAGTTTTCCCGTGGCATAAGCAAGTTGCAAAATTGTGAGTAAAACTTAAAGAATATGCTTCTTGTGTCAAGTGATGGGGGAGATATTTGGTGAATTTTGTGTGGAAGTTCAAACCATTCTTCAGATTACTAACATATAACTTAGTATTAAGCAGTAGAAACCCTATATGAATTTAATAATAATACATTCAAGCTGTTGGTTATGAATGAAACTATATTTTTAAAGGTTGAGAAACACTGCTATTACTTCATTCATTTTTAATAGAATGGGTTTAAGACTAACTATAAGACAACTACTGACACGCGGTTTGTGTATTGGTGCTATGCCAAAGGTCACAGGCTTGATTCCCGCTCAAGTCAACAAGTGCTTGTACATTTAATGTTTGATCTGGTCTTTACAAAAACAATACATATGTATTTATATCAGTAGTCTAGTACCCATAGTACTAACTCTGCTTAGTATGGGATGAGATAGTGTTGTGTGAATGGGGTAGAATTTATATTATTATCATGGATACATACACTCGAAAAACATAACCCTTCTTCTGATGCAGACAGGTAAAATGTTATGGTTATGGAAATAAAAAATAGTGTTGTCTTCTTTAGGTATTCTTTCAATAATTATACCTCCTATAGTATTAATTAACATAATTATTTCATAACACTTGCATTTAATAATAATTTACTTTTTTTTTTTCTCAAATTTACAATGCCTGAAAGAGGCTACTATTTATGTACACTTAGTTGGCAATAAATATTTTGATTTTTTGTATAAGCTTAGTAATAGAGATCAGGTTGGCAGCGTGAATGTTATACACCAATTTTTAAATTTAATTACCTACACTGCTTGTGTAGGTAATTAAATTTAAAAAAAGTGGTTGAACAACAAAAAAAAGCTGCTTATTATTAGCAGTCTTGAGATAAATATTTTATTTAGAAGATTTTCAGTAAGGCTTACACAACTATAACCCTTCTAAATTTTCCAAAAGGCCCCTAATAGCCTTACAATGTAGGTGTATTTTCAAACATAGGCAAATGACTACTAGACTGGGACACATTGCACAATGATTAAAATTGTCATCCTACCCTCAGTTAGAGTTAGTGATTTTTTTATGCCAGCTCAGGGATCAGTATTAGTCCAGACTATTTACATTCATATTACACTGCCTAGGAGTAAAAAATGTAAACACAAACTTGTGGGTGATAGGTGTTAACAAGGCAGTGATAAACACATACCTGTAATGCATGTTTACAAGCTATTTGCATCAAGTACGCGGTGGTCTGATCGTTACACAATGATAACTAAAGTGAATCGAGAGTGTTAATTAATTATTACATTGACATTACATTTGAGGTTAGATACTAAAAAAAATTCATTTATTTACCTCTTTAGACTGCCACAAATCCTTCCCGAGAACATCTGCAAGCTTATTCAGGTGTTCGCATGTCACGCCTTGTTCCATTTTAAAAAATAGACGAGTTTTTAAAGTAAATAAGTAGTCGACTTAGCTGATTCACAATGGGATTGTAAATAAAGGACATTATTTTATACTTCAGCTGGACGAAACAAGAAAGAAATAACAACAGGAAGAACTAGGAACAGATGGTCAAGTTTGAAGGTAAACATTTCGGAGCAAGGGTTAGTATTTGAATTAGAATACAGAAATTTTTTACAACACAAATCCTTTCGTGACGAGCGAAAAGTCAGGACCCGATAATTGGTTTCACATTATCGGGTGCAATCACAATCGAACATTACGTTCGATGCTTGTGATGTTTTCTCACTAAATTTTCACTATCCGAAAGAGTGGGAAAAAATCGATTCAGACATCTCACATCGAACTCTGTATCGAACACTTGGTTCAACTAAATAACTAAAAGTGATGTTTCGTTCCGGTGTCAGTGTTGCCAACAGTTAGGTGAACTCTTCACCAGATTCAACATCTAAAACCACCAGAAAACCACTAACGAGAAACGACCCTACTTTCTACTCACAAAATTTCCCACTAAACATTTTTTTTATTAATTACGAAAGAAAACCATAAGCAACTTAATAAAGCACTAGTTTCAGTTATGAAAATTTAATAATGATACTTATCGTTTTTGTCAGCACCATCATTATTCTTAACATATCAGATAAAAGATTTAACTTCATTCTATTCTATTCACTGCCTCGGTGGTGCAGTGGTAGCATATGCGATTACTGTGCTGAGGTTTCGGGTTCGATGCCCTGATCAGACCAAATGTTTTTATGATCTGCAAATATTTGTTTCGGTGTTTTGGGTGTTTTCTCTGTATAATATGAATGTATTTACAAAAAAAAAGTCTATAACCATTCTATCAGCTTTTATAGTACAAGCTCTGCTTAGTTTGAAACTAGGTGATGTCGTGTGAAACATGTCCGAAAATATTATTATTATTATTATTATTTCTCTGTTTATACCTATAGTCTCGTAACTCAACATCGGCATTAAAATGAGGCAGTATTAAGAGAGTTATACATGGGCATCTTTAAAGAGCAATGGAAGCACCTCTAGTATGTTGAAGTGGAAGGCATTAGTAGATAATAACGGACTGAGTTTCATTTCTCTTCTGCTACTTAACCGGATCATTAAACATAGAGTCCTGAATTATATAGCTAGTCTGCCCAGACCCAATTTTGTCTTCTTTGAATTATCTCCTGTGTCTTCTGTTTACCTTTTTCTTTTAACGCAATGATTTCCAAGAAATGGGAAGATAGCTACCATCCTGGATTACGTCCTCGAAATTGTAGCCTACATTATTCACTTCTTTCTCGACTCCGAAACCTCTCTATGGCACAACAGCCTTTTTTTTTTAACGTGAAGAAATCCCCTAGGACCGTCACCCCACCGGGGCTCTCGTTCGGCGGGGCGGTGTGTCGGACTCGAACCGACTAAAACCACACGGTGTGCCCTCTTTGCGCTTCCAGTTTAGGGGGGGTCCAGGTAGTTATCACCTTCTGGACCCCTCCCAGTTGGCACAAAAGCCTACATCAACCCATTGCCTAAAATTAATAATCCTTCTCTGCCTGAACATTTCTAACCAATCCTCATTCTTCCTTGCATATCAAGCGTTCTTGAGGTTGAAACAGCATGTTATAAGCCCTGTACAATCTAACTATTACTACTAAACCACTAAAAGGGGGGTCGAAACCACCAGCTTAAGTGGAAAATCCAATAGGTTGGCAACACTTTACGGAGTTGCCAATTAACAATCATCACCATTAAATTAAATGCATGATCATGATTTCTGATCATTTAATATAAACCACCTTAACATAGCGCCTGATTTTTCAATTAAAATTTTGTGTTTCATTTTCAATATACTAAAAATAAAATTCCAGTAGGAAAATAGATCTAGAAACGCAACATTAGAATGTTTTTTTTTTTGTAAAAGTTAGAGCATGAAGAAAAATCAGCCAATAATAACATTCTTATATATTTAGTTTGTGTCCCTCAAGCTGCACGGCTTAAGGGTGTTCACCCGTTGACACGACAAAGATGTATTTAGTTTTCTCGAAACGTGGTTGGTTGAAACTGTTAAAAACTAAATGCGGTTGTTATGTAAAAAAGGTGTCAAGTCATTAACATTTTGCTCGAGGGCACAGATTTTACATAAATGTTACAAAGACTTAAGAGCTTATTAATTACATTTGTACTGATTATTTAGAAACTTACAAAGGTTGTCAAACATCATGGGTGGTACATGAACTTTATATACACCTATGTAATGATTCAAAGGCGTGTGGAACGGGGAGTAGTTTTCATGTTTAATACTCCAAAAAGAGTCCAAGTATAATACACACTTCTTGAATAGTCCTAAATAAACACAAAAAGAGTCAGTTTATCTTTTCTCGGTTTTGATAATATTAATAATTTATTTGCGTAAAATGTGGCACAAAAGGGTGTCACAAAAATTCGATAGTAATAGGCATATAAATATAGGGTTGTAGTTTTGGGTACAAAAATTAACTTAAACTAACTTAATTGCTAAATTACTAATAACAAATAAACTAAATTAATCTAAACAATATACATGTAACACTTCGAAACTACGTACAATATTTTTTATTTATATTCGTAATACCCACCTACAATGCATTTCTAAAATGATAAGATGGACACACCAACCTCCTTTCAAAGGAGAGGCCTATGTCTAGTAGTGGACTACTAAAGGCTGTTGATGATGATGATGAGTTATTTTAAGGGAATCGTTGAAAGAATAATAACAATTGTATACTATACAAACCATTTTCTTAGCGCAACACAAAACATTTTGAGTGGTCAGTAATCTACTCGGGTATTGTCTTCTATACTCTACACAAATAAATAAAATTGGAGTGTCTGTTTGTAATATTAAAATAACCGCTTTGTACTAAATGCATATGTATGTTTACACGGTACATATGCCAAAATAACATTTTTTTCAATTGTTGTCTGTTTGTCTGTCTGTTTGTTCCGGGTAATCTCTGGAACGGCTGGACCGATTTCGACGGGACTTTCACTGTCAGATAGCTGATGACATAAGGAGTAACCTACTTTTTTAGACTAGTTTCGCCCCGCGGTGTTGCCCGCTGTTATAACAACAAACGCGGGTAACACCGCGGGTATCAGCTAGTATTACACAAAAGTAGAACCATATACATGCAACCTCGTCTAAGTAGCTCGATTCTGGGTATAGACATGTTAAATTAAAGTTCTTTTGCTTTTCGTCTGCTAAAAATAGTTTTAGATAAAAAAAGGGAACGGTTATTTTTGACCAATTTTGCAATTTCATATATTTTAATGCAAGGAACAGTCAAAAGGTTGTATTGTTCAAAGACAGATCTATAAGATGAAGTCTTTAACTTTGAACTTTTGAGAACATTGAACTTTTTTAAGAAAGAAGACACTCTTACAAGCAATTCTCTCAAAAGCTTTCCATATTATAGGGAGTAATTAGAAGGTTTGTTGAGATGCCATCGTAACCCGATGATTTAGTATTTTTCTATGAGTTTAATATGTTATAAATTTCTATTGGATTGGTAGGTTTTAAAAATATGCTTTGACTTTTGGTTTGTACTATTTTTCGCATTGATATTGCTTTCCACAACAGCAATGAAAGGTTTTTGTCAAGATTTGCAATCTCTCCACCTATTGTAATTATTATGTTATCATCAACATTGATTACTCCAACCGTAGATTTCCCTATTTATAACTGGATAATACATATGCTAGGGAATATGTCTCAAACATATTCGTATCATTCGACAATGTTTCGTTCGTTTCTCATCTTTTAAACCTCTAATAATATCTATATTGATCGTTTTTGAACTGATGGTGTCCCTATCAAAATTAATGCCAGTTGTTTAATGTCAATTTTTTATTGACACTAATGACGTTTTCGTTTGTTGTTGAATAACGCCTATAAAAAAATATAACGTATAATATAAATAAATAATTTATATCTTGCAGCTTTGTTGTGTACTATACCCCCTCTGAAATCGAAAGTGCCACGCAATGACTTCAGCATCATCGAGTAGTGCTCGATCATTGTTCGCCGAATCAAAACAAAGATTAGCTGAAAGAGTTCAAGTGAACATGAATAATATTTCATCTTTGGCTCGACAAATACAAAGAGGATCTAAATCTAACGAGGTATTATGTGCCATATTTGAGCCTACCACAAAGTGGTCAAATTAACATTGCCAATTAACCATAATCAGATTGAAAAAATATGTGTCGTTATAAAAAAGGGTTTCTAATCATTAGAAATGATACAGATCATTTTGTAATTAGCATTAATACTTGTATATCTGTTTGTGGATTGTATCATTACCTTGAACAACACAGTCCAATTAAGAATTCAAATGATGATAAGTTCATTGTAAAATACAATTTGTTTCTTTAAAGTATATATAGCATTATTTATATTGTTAAAAATCCAAGTGAATGTAAACGGCTGTATAGATAGTATTAGATAAGTACTCTTTATTGCACACCACTATTAGGATACAGTGTAGAATGCAAAGAGTGTAACAATGGGTAGCCTTATTGAGTCTGTAATCCCTTCCAGGCAACATTTAGATGGACTATACTATACAGTAATATGTAGGGTGTGGTGCACATTTGCAATTACTAGATATTAACTAATATTACATTACATAATTACACATACATTTACATAAATACATATTCATAGACTCACTTACATACATACATAAATATATAGATAGATATGCATAACATACCCTAATAGCACATAGTTCTTACAGAGATAAATAGTTATCCTTGATGAGTTGTATTGTATAGATATTTTAACAGGAAATTTAATAATCTATTAATTACAACAATTTTTTTTGTAGCTCCTAACTAAGGCAGCAAGAGATATAGCATCTACAGAGAATCAAATGGAGAATAGCGAAGAAAACTTGAAGAAAATGCAATTAATTTCAGTACACATTGGTTATCAGTTTGAGAATATACAGAAGTCTGCACAATTGCTTACTGAGATAAGTGAACAGGTTACGAATATGCAGAGGTGATGAGGTTTTAGCAGTAAAATTAGAAAAGAGGTTAAACATAAAATGGCCTACTGAAAAAAGGAATTTGTTGATGACTTTTAGTAGACCCTGTACTTTTGAATTGTGTAGCTAATATATTGCAAATTAATTCATTTGTATAAGTTTTTCCATCAAAATGTTTTTATTTCATTATTGTAAAAATAATTTATTGAATAATGTTAAAAAGAGTACAGCCATCTAAATATTTTTTCCTGCCCTGTAGCCTTCCTGGTAAATCAAATTGAGTATCAAAATAGCGTATTACAATTTAAATTAATCTTTTCTCCTACATTTATTGCAAGAAATTTGTACACCAACCAGATAACTCAGTATTTAAATAAACACTTGGTTAATATATTCTTATTATAAGATATGAAAATAAAGAAAATTTCAGAGTATTTGATTGTTTGTCTGTAAAGATTTTGCTGTATGTATTGTCCACAATGGTTGTTTTAGCTTTGGTTATGTATCATGAGTTTGCTGACTATTATAATAATATTTTAGAGCTTGCCCCCCTCAAGAGTATAACACACAACGCCATCTAGTTTTAAACCAAAAGAGCTTGTACTATGAAAGCTAGTAAAGCCCTGCTCCTGCAATAGTCAGTTATCATCAGTTGACCCAACTATTCAATGGTACCCTATATCATAAAAATGTTATGAAAATAATAATATAATATTTATAATAATATTATTTTCGGATATCTAAACAACGCCAACTAGTTTCAAACTAAGCACAGCTTGTATTACGAAATAGATTTATAGAATACTTACAGTTATTTTTTTTGTAAATACATATTATAGATAGAAAACACCCAAACTCCGAAAGAAGTATGTGCAGATCATACAAACATTTGGTTCGACCCGGAAATCGAACCTAAGACCTCAGCATAGCAGTCGCATACACTACCACTTCACCACCGATGCTATCGATAAGAGAGTGGCTACTTTATAAAATTACATATACTATACATAAACCGTTCAATTGAGTCCTCGCGCGCTGGGTTCAGAGGCCCGGAGGTATTACGAGAACAGGGACTGGGAGAGGAGCGGGCGGCGGGCGCTCAAAGAAAAGAAGAATGCACTCAAATAAGCAGTTAGTCTGTAGTGGCCGCTCGGAAGCTGGAATTCGGTACGAAAGTATTAACTCGACGGTAGCAAAAGGGCAGTTTTTTTTGTATCTTATCACCATCGTCATCATTTTTCAGTTTTATTTAGGGTTGGCGTAAAGTGTAAACTTTCCAAAAGTATTAAGTGGTTTCTTATACGGCTGACAGCCTGCACGAAGCCAGTCGCCAACCCTTCTTGTAAATGTAATTGTTTCCAGACGGAGCAAAGGCAGAAGGTAAATTGAGGGTAACGTAACCGGATGAAAGTAATCATAGAAATACCTACTATATATATTTACAATATGTAATTATATATATCAGTAGGCATTATCTACTAAAACTCACCAATAGCTACTAAATCAGAACAAAGGATAAACAAAGACAAAATAGGCGTAAACTATTTTGTCTTTGACTATTTCCATGTTTAGATTCTTCTTTAGTTGGCGTGACACTTCTGCATCAAAATATTTACACATTCCATGTTTGCTATACATCTTTTGACAGGCGTCAAAATTTATCATTTAATGACTAAGACTGTTTTTTATCCTAATTAGGTGACAAATAAGCCATAAGTCCCTATCATCAAGGAGAGACCTGATGGTAGACACTCATAGTTAGAGTCTTAAAATGGATTCTTTTTTAATGAGTCTGCTTTTTAACCTGTTTTCTAGTTTTTTTTAGACGAACAAACCGTAATATTTTTTATTTATTTAATTCTTTTTGCACAAACAACAATCCATTGTACAATGGCGGGAGTAATGCCATAGTCATTTTCTCTCAGTCTACCTTTGGGTGGTTGGGCAATGTTTGAGTAGGTGCACTAGAAATTAAGTTTTATATGTAACGATAAAATAGTAATTAGGGATATGGACAGAAACAGTGTGACAGATATACAAACATACATACTGACATGTATATACATATATACTTGCTGAGTTACATACATACATATAGGGAATACACAGTATAGAATACATAGGGATGTGATGAATCTGCTAGTGTCGAGAATTCGAGCTAGGACTTTCGTCTTAAATAAGAGGCGGCTGGGTGCTATCCTGATTTCCAGAGGAGGACAGACTTTATTGGGAACAAAGATTTGACACATGCGCAAGTATGAGTGGGGCATAACAGAAGTGGATTGTTTGAGGAACGGATCATTTCAGTGGCGGTTTTACATATTTGTCGCCCGTACTCTTCAATTCAATAACCTTTTTTTTTCGTGTGGGAACCCCTCGGAATAGAGGCGGTTGTTTTTCCGGGCGGGAGTGGCAGTCTGCCCCCGCCCGAAGAGGTAAGCGAGTGCCGTGAGGCCGCTTGATGGCATGATGGCACGTAGGTGGTCCCGGCGTGCTTGTTTTGCCGCTGTGTTCTGTATTCAATAGCCTGCCATTCAGCTACACCAGGGAGGCACTCTACTATTACAGAGTGCCAGATCACCTAAGGCGGCTAGTGGCAGACTATTTATAGGATCGTACCGTCATGTACGAGGAATATATTCTGTGTCGCGGGGGACTGCACAAACATATATATGAAATGGACACAAAGAACACAAAGACTCAGAACAACAACTTGTGAATCACACAAAGTGTTGTCCCATGTAGGGATCGAACCCACAACGCTGAGTGTACATGGACTTACAAGTTTGCTTGGTACTGTATAAACGGAGACTATCTTCACCCCCTGGCGCCTCAATTGTAATCAACTCGGTATTCGTACCGGTTCAGGCCCAGATGAAGTATCTGCGCCTGATTCTTAACGGGAAGTTGCTCTTCGACGAGTACTTTCGACAGCATGCTCTGTTCCCGTCTGCCCTTGGGCGACTTCTGCCCAGTTTGGGTGGACGCAGCGTCGCGACAAGACACGCGCAATGGCACCGTGCACTGGTGGCTCTGACCGCCCAGGGTGAGGCGCGCCTCTGGCGCCCTGTGAAGCTATCGGCGGATAGAGCCAATTGCGGTTGGCCAGAATACCCCCGTGGGATTTTGAGGCGAAAGTGCCTGCACTCGATCACTAGAAGTGAATTGAGGAAGGAGGTAGCGGAGAGGGCCCGGGAGGACCACTCGGTCCCAATTCGCCGCGCGCATTCCAGGGCCTTATGCCGACCTGAGTGATGATTAATAAAAAGTTAGTCAAAATTACTATTTAAAATTGTAACATCAAATTGGAATATTATACTCGTATTTGATTGGAATATTTTAACAATCCATATTCACAAAGGTAGGTATATTTCACCAAACGTTTCGTAATTTTACAAATACAGATGGTGGAGTATTTGGTACACTGCATAGTACTAAAATATTGTTATTTTTGTTGAATATACGAGACTTTTTTCCTCCGTGTATATAATAATGTTTTCTTTTATTTAAATAAGCCAAATTTGCCGCCCTAATAAATCCGCCACTGAGTTATTTACATGTTAAGATTAAACATATTTGTATGTACTTATAGACCTAATAGTTCCTTAAATTAATAGATCAAGCTTGTGTACAATAACATCCATATCGATAAATTTTAAAATTTTTGTCAGAGGTGAGAGCAGTCAGATTTGAATGAAAACAACAGAGATATTTATTGAAACAGGTAATTTCGAAAAAAGAATCAAGAAGAGTTTTTGAGGTAATGAAGTAAGTATTCGTACAATTATTTCAAGTCCCATAAAATTAAAAGGGGTGACTTTTATAAACTGCTGTAACTAGTTGTTGTGTGATTTGGTTACTTTATTTAAAAGAAATAGACGTAGTTGTTTTATTATCTATCTCATGAATTTAGTTATCTGTTTAAAATGGTTACAATTCTAAAATTGCCCGTGTTAATTATTGTATTGTCATTGATTTCTTGATTTGACATTCTAAGTACAAGAAATCACAATACAAATTCACTTTCGAACGAATTTGATTTTTTTTGGAAGTCAGAAAATAAAGCCCTTGCAAAAACTTGTACTCATTTATTTTCTATCAGTGTTGGTTATAAAAATAAAGCTTTAAAATAATATTTATATGAACGACACCAAGTATTTGTCACAATTTGCTGGTATCTAGATCGTGACTGGTTCATAAGGAAGTGAATAAACACGCTTTGTCAGAATGGGAGCAGTGAAAGCGCTGGGATACCCGATGGATTATTGGTGTATTTGTTCCGGTAAAGATCTTAAATTATACGAAAATAGCCTTTACAGCGAGTTTATAAGATTAATATTGGCACACCTTTCATGGATATTTTACATCGTTCCATTAATAAGTGTAAAATGTATCATTTGCGCTAAGTGATTTAAGAATTTGCTTTATATGCATAGGCCTTGTGTTGCTAAATGTTTTTAGTAGTATTCTAGGATTTCGGCGTATCATAGTGTGGGTAATATACTGTTGGTGGATTCCACTCAGTAGTCCAAGTGGACCCAGGGAGTGTCTCTTACTTACATAACACTTTCTGCAGCCTAAAATTTATTCACCAGAAGTGAGGTATTTCAGATATGTTTTGCAGAAACTGGTAAAGTGGGTTACACACTAGTAGCCTTGTTGACCCATCCAGATAACATAAATGCTGCAGTACAAATACTTTCATGTCAGTAGTGCTCCGGGTGGGGTTCGATCCGTGACCAGTTGACCACAAGTCCGTTGCCTATGTAATTATGCTACTGCCGCTTATAATTTCACTGCTGGAGCAACATTTGATTTATGATATCCTACCCTCACTTTGCCTAGTTAAAATCAAGGTAGCCTCCTAAATTGCCCTGTAACGAAGTAAAGGTAAAGGTCATCAAAGTTCTGAAAGCATTTAGTCAAATAATGCAATTCTAAAATAAGTACTAAATAAACTCAAACTCAAAATATCTTAGTTTATAAAATTGTTTAAAGTACCACTGAATCAAACTACT